GAATTGACGGTAACGGCGTCCCCGGCCGCATTTTCGAAAAAGTAAGGTCCGATGATGCCTTTTGACCACAATGCACACCACACAGTCAGTTTTTGAGGATGCATGGGCTGCTCTTGATACTCACGGGGATTTTCGTTCGCCCAGATGCGGCAGTTTTGCTTGTTTACCGTCCCATTCAAAGTGAAATGCGCTTCGTCGCTGAACATGATTTTTGATGAAAAATTGGCATCAATTTGGCGGTGTTCAAGGAGCCAATCTGAGAACGTTGGGCGCGAAAAATGGTCGGCCCGACGCAGCTCTTGCGTCAATTGGATCTTGTAGGCGTGTACATTCAAATCCTTGTGGAGAATGCGGAGCAAACTGGTTCTCGAAATGCCCAATTCTTGGGATCGACGCGTTGTTGATTGTTTCGGATCGTCTCTCACACTCTCCTTCACAACAGCAATATTTTCCAGTGTGCGAACGCTCCTTGGTCGGTCAGAGCCTGGCAGATTTGCCACAGAACCTGTTGCCTCGAATTTACGCACCAGACGACCGATGGTTGTTTCGTTTGGACGGTTGTTGCGACCGAAATGTTCACGAAGCGCGCGAAACGTATTTTTTTATTTTTGCACCATTTTTGAAGTGCTCTTGAATAACTTTAATGCGGTCTTCAATCGAATACGACTCCATAGCGATCAATGGTAAACATCCAACTAACAAAATGACATGTCGGTGACAGAAAACAAAGATGGCGTCTATGTCAAATTGACGTTTACTTTACTGCGTCCCTATTGGACAACCCATTACTTCGCATGGGGGCATCCATAATCATACAATACGAGCAACTGCGCTAATCTTGTATTGCCACAAAATATACTCAGTAAAACTAAATATGGGTCAAACATTAGGGCATAAAAATTTTCATCGCTGTTGCCCAGTCTGTACGTCAGTTAGAGAATAATAATTTCAAATCAATAGTCGATTCTGGTAATAGATGTTTGTGCTATCGTATTTCGATAAATTTACCCCACTCTCCCCTACTTTCACGTGACAAGCCCTCCATAACTAATACATATCCACTGTGTAACCTCCAAATCTCTAACAGACAGTATAATGTTACGGGGAAATTAACCTAGCCTTGAATTTCACCCTCGCTAAAAGCAAACCTACCAATCACGTTCTCACATCTGTGGCACATACAGATGACATGTACTAAACAATTAGTATCACAAGAGCCTTTGTGTTGCCTTTGATACATACGGAGACGATGCAAAAATATTATCTATAGAAAATTGATGAACGAAATGTCAAAAAGCTTGAAAGAAGCATTACTGATTTCCTAGCACCAGCAGATAATGGACAGAGATGAGAATACAATAATAATAATAATAATAATAATAATAATAATATTTATTCGCCAAAATACAAAAAATGGGCAAATAAATATGAAAAAACCACAGAAGGCATCGCCTGTGTGATTTATATCTTAATAACTAACAATCAATCATATATGTGTATAACAAGTATTGTTAAATCTAAAAGGTATTAATGTAATTGGAATTTTGTAGTTTTAGTTTTCTATATAATTATGTATAGTCATTCGCTGCACATTACTAACCCAGTCTTTCAATTTTCTTCTAAATTTTTTCCCAAAATTAAGTATCTTTATTTCGTTTGGTACTACATTATATAATTTAGCTGCTAAGAATTTAAATGATTTTTTGAATAATGTTTTGTGTGGTCTTTGGATATTAGATGAGCCTATTCGAAATCGTGTGTTATGCTCGTGTTTATAGGATTTTTTCTTTTTATTACAATACTTATGGTATAAGGTGGTGGCATGTAAGAAATAAAGTTGTCTTGTATCAAGTATCCCTGTTTCTTGATATAAGTTGTTCGTTGGATATAATCTTGGCTTATGGAAAATGGCTTTCAAAACAGTTTTTTGTGCTATATTCAGGTCAGAAATGTATGTCTTGCAGGCGGCACCCCAGGCTGTGATGCCGTATATTATATGGGTTTCAACTAAGGCTTGGTATAGGATTCGCATATAACTTTCTGTAAGAATATAATATAATATAACTGAATAGAATGTCACACGATCAGTACAATCAGTATTTACTGTTAATTCCGTCAACGTCAGTAATTTCTATATATGCAAAGGGTACTAAAAAAGTGTTGCAATATGATTTAACAAACGGACGCAGGAGGCTGCATGTTACTGCATGCTGAGACATGTCCATGAGAGCGTAGTAGCCGCTAGCAGCACGTCTGTGATTTAGTTGTTCATTTGTATTGACAGTGTAAAGTGCGGACTACGACATCGTGGTCATCTAGTGAGATAAGGGCAGTTTTACGCTATGACCTTAAGCGTGGTTTAAGCTCAGACCTAGAGCTAAGAAGAAATGACGCTTGCATTAAAGAACAATTGTCCTCATCGTGCGACTATATTCAGGTGATTCAGAGAATTCCAAAGGGGCAATTTCACTCTTTTTTTATATATCGAAGCAGCCGCGCAGGCAGAAGCCTAAATGAGCGAAGCTGTGGATTGGGTTGATCGTGCAGAAAAGGAGGTCTTTCATATGTAAGAGAAACAGTGTTGGAGCCAAACCCGATCCCTGAGGAACACCCGCGTTGACGTTGTGGGATGAAGAGGAGAACCCGTCAATTACGACGGATATCTTGCGGCCAGAGATAAAGTCAGCCACCCATCTGCAAAGCTTTTCTGGGAGGCCATAGGTTGGAAGTTTGCTTAAGAGGGCAGCGTGCCACAGCTTATCGAACGCTTTCGTGATGTCAAGAGCAACGACATGAGCCTCACCATGAGACTGGATGAGTTGCAAACCGCTTCGTTATATTTGTTTCTGGACTAGACGTCGGCTTGTCTATTCTCTACAGTGGGGTTTTGTGTCTGTGTGCCTTGATCTTCTGCTGGAGAGCAGTGCCACACGATTTGTTAAACCAGCCGTTGGACCCTGGTTTAGGCACTTTCACTGTGTGAGGGATGTATTCCTCCATTTCGACGTGGATAATTTCGGTTATCGAAGAACAGACAGCCGACGCATCCGCGTCAGTGAAACAGACATCTCTCCAAGGAAAGCTAGAGAAGAAGCCTCTGAGCCCCTCCCAGTCGGCATGTCCGTAATGCCAAGTTTTGCGGCCTGTGCGAGTTTCTGCTGCCACAGCGGGTTCTGACCGAAACCTAACCTCCACAACACCGTGGTCTGAGTTACCCAGGGGGAACAGTACAGCAGTGCTGTAAGGGACAGGATGCATGGTCAGAAAGAAACCCAGCAGGCTACTGGCGTATGACGAGACGCGGGGAAAAAGAAGGGCTCGTCACCAGCTGGGTCAGCCCTTGAGTAAGAGCGAACGCTTCGAATGCACGACCAGCTGCATCGGTCTTGTTTGAGCCCAACCAAAGCTCATTATGGGCATTGAAATCACCGAGAAGAACTACCTTTGAAGCGGGGTGATTGATGTTCCGGAAGTCGATCTGGACGGCGAGGTATTCGAGTACGTCGTCCCAGTTATGGTCCGAGGGAGAGCGATAAAGGCAGCAGATAAGTTTGGGTGATGTTTTGGAGTTGAGGCGAAGCCACAGAATGTCCTTCCAGTCTGATATCAAAGAAACATCTCTGGAGCAGGAAAGACTGCTGCGGACAAAAGCCACAACTCCCCCGTTCTTTCTCAGATTGGAGTGCATCTCCTAGTTTGGTTAATCGGTGCAGACTCTGAGACTTTTGTCTCCGCCAAGAAAAGCACGGCGGGACGATTGGATTGCAGGTAGTGATGAACAGCATCAATGTTGCTGTTAATCCCGCAGATGTTCGAAAAACGAATTTTATCTTCGATGTTGTTCCCTCGAGCCCACCCTCCACCCGGACATTCCGAGAGTGGAGTGAGTTTACGTCCGGAGTTCTTAGTGCCCGAGGGATCCATTATCATTAATTTCTTTCTTCTGGAAGATAACCGACTGCATAGCTTAGGTGTGGAAACATGCGGATATTTATAAAACACCCTGGGAAAAGCTAGCGGGTGGTACCGCCTCGGTCGACTGGTCCTTGTCTACCCCCTTCTCCTTACGTGTTAGTGATATATAGACCTAAAGTGGTCCGTTGGCGAACTTTTACCGCCACCCGGCAATCGGTACTGAGGCATTCCTTAACGCGTGTACAACCACTTGAACGGGAAGAAGTTGTATACTGAATACAGCAACCTCCGGACAAGCATTTGCCACGGCCCCGCTCAGTAGGGGTGAGAGTGGAGGACGCTAAGAGTGAAGGAGGGCCACAGAGGAAAACATGACTGCTGTGAGGAAAATGCTTGACGAAGACGGGAGAGTGACATACCAACAGATAGAGTAGACTTTACACCTCCATGCACCAGCAATTCTGCATGACCATTTCACGTAAGGAAACTATATGTTCTCTCTGGCGACCGCATAGTCTGACGGAAGAGCAGAAGACTCGTCTTGACCAAGGCTCAAAACACAGTTTGGGTCTTCGATGATGAGGACACACCCGTAGATATCAGAAAATTCCGATCTGTTAAGGAAAAATTGATAACTGTATTTTTCAAATCGAGCGGGATTGTGGAGAGTGTCGTTTTGGACACACAGAAGATAGCCACAGCTAAGTGGTACATGGAACAGTGCCTGCCTAAAGTCATAGAGTCTATGAAAAATTTGCGGGCAAAGTCAAAATGGACACTTGGTACCTCCACCATGACAAGGCTCCAGCAGTATTTGTCCAGTACTGGACTGTCGCTTATTGAGCACCCTCCTTACAGTCCAGATCTTGCCTCTGTTACCGCATGTAAAAATGAAGCTAAAAGAAAAACGGTTTTCTCGCGTTGAGGACCTTTATAGTACCTTACATCAACGATATCTGACGTCCCACAGTGGGACCGAAGCCCGAAACACCTAGGGGGTATTTTTTGCTGATGCCACTTGATTGTCGCTGATGAACGAATACAATTGTTGATATTGCAATACGATTTATGGGAGATGAAAAAACTATTGATTTCAAACTTTTATATATAAAAATAAATTTATAACATATTATCCAAATAATATTCTGGTTGTCTAAGACACTATTGATACGTATCTATACAGGTATTTACATTTAAGTAACGCATTTTCATGCTAGGTCTATCACTTTCTCTCCGCAATCTGTATTCTTATACCATTAACAGACTTTAGCACTGCTTCCGATGCCAAAATCAGTTTATGTTCAGGATTCGTTGGGTATAGCTCGAAATTTCGCAATATTTTCGATAGCGTTGATTTCATTTCTAACATGGCAAACTTCTGGCCTGTAAATTGATAAACGAATGAATTAGTAAACGTGAATTATCAGAAAAGTAGCTATTTTTTGTAGTCTTGGCTTATTGCAGCTTAGCCGTTTTTGTAGAAGTAAACTAGGAAAATAATCAGTGCTATCACTCGTACACTACTCAAAAATCAAGGGAACAAGAAAAAAAAACAAATTTTTCGGTGAAAAAGCATTTTGAAGCTCTAAGTTTTACCTTGGTGCATGCGTGGGCTGGTGAGTTTTTGAACATTGACAGTGTATGCGACGATATGGTCAGTCATATTTTCTGCTCTATACCCTATTCGTAGTTCATTTACGACCCGGCACAACAAAGATGCAGCGCGACAAAGCGGCTGCTGCCTAAGCCATAAAACTATGAGCAAGTGCAGGATTCGACAAGATAGAACTCAGTTCTACCGCTAAAGTGGTATTTCTACTGCTTTAGAGAGTCATCAACCGCTATCGAGTTCTGTAATATACCGCTTTATCATTCTCGGTGCGTAAATTCATAATTTGCTAGCGCCATCTCACGGTAACGACTAATAATGACCAGGTTTGCTGGTCAGGGAATTCCCCGACTCCGGGAGAGGGTATTTACAGAAATATTTCGCTGCCATTTTTATGTGCGTCGACCTACAATGTGTCATTTATTTATTGTTGTGCATTGTGCATTGGTGGCACGCGTGTTCCGGAATTGCCATAAATATTTTATGATATTGGGCTTCTTTTTTGGTTGAAGGTGAGTTTCTAAGCCTATAGGTATGACTTTTTTCAATAAATATGGTACTGTAATAAAAATATGAATTATTTCAAATATTCTGAGAGAACAAATATTTTATCGAAATAATAGTTCAAATTTTGTAATGATAGGTACAAGATGGAAAATTCGGATGCCCTTTAGATATCACTTATGAATATATACAATGATATTTCTGGTTGAAACCACCCAAAGGAATCGCTTAAGTACAATTATAGGAATAGTACACAGTCAGAGACTAAGGGGCCGTTCAAGTATTACGTGAGCACTATGCTTTGCTTATTTTGGATGACATGGGGGGTATGGGAGTCTATATGATGATTACGTCATCGGTAGTTATTTACTTTTTTACACGAACGGCAACCCTCACATTGTCTTTGCTTGAAAACGAAACGCATTTTCGGGGTCAGCTTCAAATATTAAAAAAGAGAAAGAAGATAAAGTAAAACCCGGTAATGAATCACAACAGCAATGCGAAATTAATGAAAATACAGATAAACAGAGAGCAAAACCTTCTCAGGAAGCTATGAAAAATAAGATTGCTCTACTCGAAAAAAATCTGAATGCTTTGTATTCTGTCAGAGATACTATGCCAAGCCGTGCTGAAGTTGATAAACAGATCATTAAGTTGCGCGAGGAAATAGAAACAGCAAAACAGTCTTTAAACAGGAAGGTTCAAAACGCAGTTGCCCAGAAGAAACACAGGGATGGTATAAAAAGAAGGTTAGAAGATATTTGTCAGGAAAATCCCGAAATAAAAAAGGACTATCTCTGAGGGATTCAGTGGGACGCCCTAATCTTGAAAGCAATCAACATTCGCGGATATAGCTTTATTTGAGAGTGCAGCAGATGATAGAAGACGAACGGAATCAATTCGCAGCGTAAAAACTCTTGATGAACTCACACAAGAATTACGTAAAATAGGATTTGACATTAGTCACAGTGGGACATATCTTCGTTTGATTCCCAGAAAATCTAATTCTGCAGAGGGACGAAGACATGTATTGACAGTCCCTGTTAAGCTCATTCGGGTTCAAACTGATCACCACAAGAGCCACTTAGATAGCAAGTTCGCTGAAACATCAATCCATTATTTAGAGAACATAGCATCCATACTTGGACCAGATCAAGTATTTTTCATATCTCAAGATGATAAAGCTCGAGTCCCTATTGGTATAACTGCGGCAAATAAGCAAGCACCTCTTCCAGTGCACATGGAATATAGAAACAAATTGCCTGATTACGATTGGGTAATCGCTGAGCGTCATAAATTAATACCATCTGTTTATGCTGGTATCAAAATCACTTCCAATATGCTAGGACAACCGCAAGCCGTTGGATATTCTGGACCAACATACATCGCTATTCGAAGTGGAAAGCATAGTTCATCTACTGCTAATACTCATGCTCAGGTTTTCGAGACGCTTCTTGAACTTGAAGAGTTTCGAACATCAGCTAAAACTGACCATGGACTAGTAAATCATGACGGTTGATGGAGGGCCAGATGAAAATCCACGTTATCAAAAAGTCATAGGGTTTGCTATACAACACTTTAAGCGACATGATCTCGATGCATTGTTTTTAGCTACCAATGCTCCTGGAAGAAGTGCTTATAACAGAGTAGGGCGCAGAATGACTCCTCTTAGTCGGAAACTGGCTGGTTTAATATTGCCTCATGACCATTTTGGGTCTCATGTGGATGAACGTGGCGTTACAATTGATGAACATTTAGAAAGATCTAATTTCGAATTTGCAGGAAATGTATTAGCTGAAGTATGGAGTTCAATGGAAATTGATCGCTATAATGTTAATGCAAAATATGTTGGGGCAGGTGAACAAGATCTTCCTGATTTTCCAGACATTAAATGGTATTCAGAACATGTGCGTGAGAGCCAATACTTGCTTCAAATTGTAAAATATAGAAATACAGAATGCTGTCGTCCAAGAAGTGGCCTATTTAGATTACTAGACGATAGGTTTCTTCTACCACCTGTAAAAGTAAAACAAACAGTTGATGACTTTGTTTTGGATGAAGGAGGGCAATTTCTTAATCTTCCAGTCAATTTAGCTCTACGCTTAAGTGCTTCACTCAAAGATTTCCTGCAAATGCCCTACGATTATGTTTGTCCGACGGTAAAATTGAGGCTATCAAGTCGAACATGCAAAACGTGTGGTCTTTATCATGCTTCCGTCAAGTCACTAAATCGTCACATCGAAAATATCCAAAAAAAAGTAAACACGCACACTGATAGGAAAGTTAGACCTGTAAGAGTCGGTGCTCGTCGTGCTAATGAACTGTTGTGCATTATTCAAAATTTAGAGCACCATGATGTTGAATGGCTCGATGAGAACGACGTAGACATTCCAAAATCCGATGAAAGCGAGCAAACTCACAACACTGAGCAGCAATCGAAGCTATACAATGTCATCGAAAACTTAGAATCATGGATTCGGGTTTCATCGACTGAATTTGAATTTAATATATGTACCAAAAATTTAAAATAAGTTTGTTATGTTAGTAAGATATGATATTTTTGTCGTTTACTCTATGTTGAATACCATATCAGTAAAATATAATCTCTATCCTAAATCTATTTTCTTATGTTTCAAATTATAATTATAACGTTATAATTATAATATTAAAAAAAACAATACATTAATTGAGAAATGTTTACGTAAGCATGGGGGGAGGCGGTAAGAGCTTTGCTTACTTTTGCTGACAAGGGGGATGGGGGTAAATAATTGTAATAAATCTGCTTACGTAATACTTGAACGGCCCCTAATTACAAGTAGTTGTTTCGAAGTCAAAAGAAACAATGAATTGAGGAGGTTGATGACGAAAGATATTTATTAAAATTAGCTAATCAATATTCGTAATGCTTATTTTTTTTAACTCAATTTAGTTTTTGTCATTGTCAAGAATGCCTCGTTTTGAGTTCTACTTGTTAGTTCTTGTTTAGAACATATAATAAAACAAGTTTCATGTAGAGCTTTTTCCAAAAACTAACCCCTATAATTGAAGGCGTAGCGAGCGTACTTATAAATATTTATAGCCGGTAGCGTTAACAAATTATTATGCTGAAATATTTCATGATTACATGACTCTTCTTTTGATGGTAAATGTCAACCTTAAGATACATTTCTGCAGACTAAACACTTTGGACGCGGTGCATGCTTGTCCCCAGACGACGGTATAATTAGCGCACTGATTATTTCCGAAAAATATTTCGATAATTTCAACTCTTTCTGCTGTGGAATATACCATGGTTAATTTATGTAATAAAGCGTTACAAGTTATTTTAGCAACAAAGTTTGGTCAAATCAATCGCAAACTATGTACTAAATCCCTATTAGAGATATTTCCTTATCCTTCTTCAAGAAATAACTTTTTTGCCACAAAAAAAAACGCTCCAATAGCTATTTTCAACAACAAAACGATAAACAAACCATGGGCGTAGTGAAGAAAAGCATTTACTTATTAAGTAAATTCTTTTAGTCAAATTTCTTCTGAAAGTAGTACAAACTAATCTGATGTACCTATTAAAGTCTACTTTAAATCAATAAATCTTCAAAACTACTGAACGGAAGCTCATGTATTTTACATCATTATAAAGGGATTTGAAAGACCTTTAAAACAAGGTATCACTCGACCCCCCTCTCCATTTAAGTTTTTATGGTTGGTGTCATCCCCGTGTTAACGTGATTTTTTGCTGAGCGTTTTTCCAAAAAAAGACTGAGCTTCCAGTAAATGCGTCTGTTTCGTTTTCGATGCGCCACCCTGTATAAAGGGATACTGGTAGTCTTACTTTGACCCGCCAAGAACGGTGTCTACAACTATACTATAACTATCTAAAACTGTAATGACTCATCCATGTTCACGTGAACATCACTTAACTACCAGTAGTCGGCTGTTCATAGGCGGGGTATGAATGTTTAACATGGGTGAACTAGATTTGTCACATGCTTAATAAAGAGTGGTTTGAAACATATTGTAAGTCAAAAATTTGGGAATTACCTTTATTTATCGTCGCTTCCACTTACATCTGACAGTAATAAACTGTCGCTATCGCTTTCCTCGTTGATATTGACTATAACTGGCTCTATGATGGTGTCGATGTGGTGGTCAAGCTGCCACATTTTTGTTTCTTCCTTCACAACATGACGGATAGCATTCTGCCAAGCTTCGGGCGTTACTAGCTGTATGGAAGTCTCAAGTAAAACCTTAACGTCTGGTAATTTGAAGGTTGTGTTATGGCGCGCAATATAACCCTTCACTTGAGCCCAGATGAGCTCTATTGGGTTCAGTTCACAGTGGTAGGGTGGTAACCGCAGCATAGTGACACCACATTGACGGGCCATCTCATCAGTCACGTAACTAATGTTCGCAGGTTTGTGCTGTTTAATTTTTTCATACAATTCCGCCTTCACACATGAATCGTCAAACGGGATTCTTTTTTCGCGCAACCATTGCTGCATCACTTTTTCGAGATCCCATAGTCGGTACACGTTCGGCTCGACGACTATGGTAGGAAGCATTATCCATGACGATCACAGAGTTGGGCTCAACTCGCTGAAGCATCCCTTGAAACCAGCTCTCGAAGCAGCTGGCATTCATTTCGTCATGGTAATCACCTCCTTTCTTAGAGACGAAAATCAAGTCACACTCTTCTAAAAAGCCACTATCGCTACCAATATGAGTTACGATCAATCTTTGACCTTTCCCTGACAGTCCACGAAGACCTGTTGACAAACCTTCAATGCTTGCTTGTCGGTTACTCACTACGTTTTTGTCTATCCAGGTTTTTTTAACTGTGTGACCTGCATTTACCCATGTCTCGTCCAAATAATAGATTTTTCTGCTTTGTCGCCTATATTCAATCATTTCGCGTAGGTATTTTTGACGCCAGGCGACTATTTCAGGTCTCTCTATCAATACTGACTTCCGATTACGCGTTTCGTAACGAAAATTAATTTCGTGCAGGGATTTCCTCATTACCTCGACGCTCATTTGGGGTATAATTTCATTTTCCTTGATCGCTGCATGTACAGCCTTGAGAGTTGGTATCTCATTCCTAAAGAAGAATGAATGTACGGTTCGCCTTAACGCCATGTTGCTATCGTCATCCAATTTAACGGCCTTTCGTCCCTTCAAATTAAACTTTGGATCAGTAGTAGCTCCAGTTCTCTTCGTTTCATGCACCACCCTGCGAATGGTCCACTCTGGAACGCCTGTCATACTTTCACAAGCCGCGAGTGCATCTCACTGCGACATAGTTCTGTTCAGATAATTGAACACGTTGAGCACGATTTCTTTCGCGTCCCTCTTCAGTGCTTTACGAAGCCGTCTACTTGTTCCCTGGCTTTCAGTACTTCCACTCGTGCCATTTGTACTCTCCATGGTTAAGTATAACCAAAACAGTAACCACAGAAACCACAACAATAACAATCACTCAACAATTCTTATAAAAACACACAATATGCGATCGCTCAACGAAACACGTTCCAATGCGTTGCCGACGCCTATGAGTCTGCCGGTCGAGGCGCGTCTTTGATTTCATTGGTTCTACCGGCGGAGAACAATCAGCCATTATTTCCATCTCTGTCTGTGCTGTTGACCACCGCAAAGCCACAGAAACGACATATGTCGTACGCTATACGGCTGTACTGGAAGGAAGCCGGGATCGAGCTCTGATCACGTGTTGATCACGCGTATGAGTCATTACAGTTTTAAATAGTTGTAGTATATATGTGCATTGATTTGGGGACTTTTGGCTTACATTTCAATATAGCATAGTAGGACCTATTCAGTTTCCTGCTTACACTGTCAACTTGTTGCTTTCAATTCCTTCCTACATTCATTTCAATACCCAGGAAGGCGATAGAATACTAGAGTGAAAGCGTAAAACTACCGTCATGTCAGTATTCAAGGTCAGGCGATATGTTTGTCATCACAGATTTTATGATTTCAACGTTAAGGGAAGATCTTCAGGCGAATCGGCAGGTTTCTATAGCTCGGACAGTACTGCTCGGATTTGGATGAAATTATTACACAAGATTACTACTACACTAAGGAAGTTACATAACTTACTATATGTGCTTAGTAAAAATAATAGTGAAAATGCTAACCTATACAGTTACGTGGCCCGGCACTGAATGGAATGTATGAATACGGTTTCGTCCCATCGCTGTTTTCAAACCTCGACGGATCAAATTTTTCTGGGTCGGGGAAATAATCTGGATCTCTTAGGATACCATAGGCAAATACTATAATGTCAGCTCCCTTAGGAATTACGTTACCTGAAAAAAAAAATAGCTCGTTAGTTTTTGTTTCTATGTCAAGATATCAATTAAGACTCCAGTAGAATGGATCTAGTCGTTTTTGACTATACTAAGTGACATATAAATCCAGTTTAAATGGTTTTATTTTAATAAAAGTTGGTGAATGTATTTATCTTACTGTAAATAACAAGTGAAAAAATTTTCAGCCTTATCAGTTGGACATTCCGGTTTTTATACTGCTTTTTTTTAATTCACTAACGCTCTAAACATGAATATTTCAGCCGCAGTAAAGAATCAACGTTGGCGGATTTTGGTTCTTGACATCCTCTACGATTGGTTACGATGCCTAGAGTACGGAGACCTGTACGATTTCGTCAACTTAGTGAGTTTGATAGGGGCCGTATAGTGGGACTTCGGGAAGCTGGACTTTCTTTTCGGGCAATTGCAGTTAGAGTTAGAAGCACTGTGGTTAGGTGTTGTCAGGCATGGCTTCGAGAAGGCCGTACGCAAAGAGCAAGGGGCACTGGACGCCGCCGTAGAACAACAGACCGTGAAGATCGCCGCCTAAGGTTATTGGCGTTAAGGGACCGTTTCTCCACTACCAGGTCCATTGCAAATGAATGGTTTGCAGAACACGGAAGACCTATTGGCATGCGAAGTGTTTACCGACGAATGAGAAGTTTTGGCTTGTTTTCATACCGGCCACACTGGGTCCTCCCTTTAACTAGAGAACACCGACGTAATCGCCTTGAGTGGTGCAGACAACGGTCACTCTGGGATCAGGAATGGAACAGTATTGTCTTTAGTGACGAGTCTCGATTTTGTTTAGGCATGCACGATGGTCGTGCCAGGGTTAGAAGGCGACGTGGTGAAAGGAGGAATCCACAGTTTTTTGTTGAAAGACATGTTCATCAAACTGTTGGAGTTATGGTTTGGGGTGCTATAGCCTATGGTTCCAGGTCACCTTTAATCTTCATCAGAGGTAACATGAACGCGCAGCGTTATATCTACGAAGTTCTAGATCCCGATCTTTTACCCTATCTTGACACCCTGGCAAAGGGCTCTGCAACATCAAAAATATCTGAATACCGTCCTGTAGCCGCGACATCTCCGAGTGGTACAAAGTCACTGGCTCAACCCGACGACAGAACTGGGTCGGGGTCAGTGTGTCAGGTCAGTATGCAACCTTCAACCGACGGTTACGGTCACGCGTGTAGAGGTAAACGAACCCGTATAATCGATTGCGTTTCAAAAAACAACAAGCACTAGAGACGTGGCTAGAGAAGTGCAAGTATCAAAAAGTGTGACAAACGCTGCGTGAAGTGGGGCTGTATCCGTTTCACGTCCAACGTGTACAACCCCTTCAACCTGACGATTTTCCAGCAAGAGTGCGGTTTTGTGAGTGGTTGTTGCATCAACATGACAATAATCCGGACTTTTCGAAGTGCATGTTGGTGACAGACGAATCTACGTTCACGCGTAATGGGATGAATAACTTTCGCAACACTCATGTTTGGTCAGTAGAAAATCCGCACGCTGTCCGTCGGGCACATTTTCAACAAACATTTTCGGTGAATGTTTGGGCTGGCATGGTGAACGGTATGCTCATTGGACCATTTATTCTCCCAAATCGATTGGACGGGATGCAATACCTAGACTTTTTACGCAACATTTTGCCTTCCTTGTTAGCCATGCCATTAAGTATAAGACAATCAATGTGGTTTCTGCACGATGGTCATATTTGTTCGTGGTCTACTGGTCTGCACCACCGCCAGCGTCTGCTCGGTAGCGCATCAGCTGATTTCATTTTCTGTTGGAGCGGTATGATTTCGAGCAGAGACGTACTTAGCCCTTCTCGTCAACTGGAGAGTGAGTACTTTTTTCTTTATTTTTTATTTACTTAGTCGCCCTCGTTTCACTACACATTACCTTTGTTATTTCAAGGGTAGTTGTTTCTGAAAAGTAAAACCCCAACTTTGCGGACACCCTGTATATGCACATTCCCGAGGTTCGAGGCAAAGTGAATAATCTACAATAGTACAACACTTCGTTGTTTGTTATCTATGAACTTAATAGTTGCATTAACTAAGGATTATTAGTTACTTTTTAGAGAAAATTAAATAATCATTTCAGTTATTTTCCTTAATTCTATATGAATTAACGTTCTTGTGATACTGAAATGCTTAAGATGTTTACATATCAAGCATATCCCCTACTCTCAGATGGTTGGACTGTTATTTTTAATTTCTTACCTTTATAAGGCACATCTACTGTAGTATGTCTGGCGTACAACGGCACTGAGGGATATAATCTGAGTGCCTCCTTGATTATGCATTCGAGGTACTTCATCTTCTGTAAGTCATTGTAGGTAATATTTCGGAATATGTCGTTTTCGAATATTTGTTTTTGTTCTTCAACCGCTTGTTTCTGTAAATGAAAATATAACGATTGTTTCAGCAAAAAAAAAACAGCATTCATTTTCGTATGTACAGCAGAAAGTACAGGGTGTCTGTCTATAAATTGACCCGCTCTCAAACTTTTTTATATGTTTCTTTTTGATAACGGGTGGATCAGAAACACCCTGTATATTTCCAGTGAAAGTGATAGTCCGTTTTTTTCTAATTCCAAGTATATATAATAGTAATACGTTCTTATTAAGCGAAGTTTAGCATAAGCTATTCTATCACTCAACACGTTCAATCCCACACCGCCTATTGGCGTCACTGATGTCTAGACAGATGTGCCTCCGTCGCCATAGGGCGACGCGTGTGATCTATTATCATATGGTGCTTCAGTTCAGGTGGCTCGTTAGTATAGTTCGGAAGGGTGAATATGCATGCAGGTTAGATATTTTTGAGAACTTTTACGTACGCCGTTTGTCCTAAATTCTACCTATAGTGCCAGTGTCGCCATCTGGCGACCAAAAAATATTTGTATTCAGGTAAGAAAATATTCGATAACTACAATATATCTAACGTGTTAATACGTCAAATGTCTATCCACAAAATAAAAGATACAAACAATATATACCACTAAAAATGAATTAGTTGAGTAAAAAAATCGAGATTGGATAAAACTTACTTATAGAATGGTATTAATGCATATACACGTATTATAAGCAGAAGTGAGAAATACATTTTTCAATGATTACTCGAAAATGATTCTTTAAATACTTTTTGAGGTTCTTGAAATTTGAAGCTTTAGTATCTGTACATGATTCTGAATTTTTGAAGACTTATCGATAAATCTCAAGACTTCATTAATTTGAGCCTCAGAAATTATTACATTGTCACTATTAAGATTATTGCATGACTGCGAGTCATCGGCAAAAAACTGAACATTGAAGCGTCTAACAACCTTATCAGGATCGGAGATATATAAAATAAAAAAGTGGCCCAAGAACCGACCCCTGAGGCACTTCCGATGATATTAAAGCCTCAGGAGAAGTGTTCATATCGATGACATTTCTTTATAATCCATTTCTTAAAAAGCTATTCATTTGGCTATCAAGAGTGAATGGTTGATGGTGTCAAATGCTTTAGAAAAAACTAAAAGAATTAAGGAAGTAGTTTGATGATTATCCCAAGCCCTTACAATATTCTCAGTTAGGTCTAACAACACTGCAGCAGTATTATATCTCTTAGTAAAACCGCATTGTCTAGTATATAGCACTCTGTATACAAAAAAGTAGTAGACCATATAACTTCTATATACAACCTTCTTTTCGGGACAGTCACAAAAAAGTTAGAGAGGGCATCAATTTATAGTCGAACCAAACTGCAAAATTACCTGGACATCTTGATGTGTTGCTAGTAAATATAGAGCGAATCCCATTCCTGAAGACGTGGTATCGTGTCCCTAATACAGAAAAAACAATTCTTGTAATATACTTTTATCTTCAAATGATGACGAGTGTATTTTCGATTTTTATTTTTAAGTACGAGGGTTGCTTAAAAAGCAAGGTTCCCAACGCTGTGACTTTGCCGCGCGTGATGGTAGGCGAAATCTGGCAACACCGTCGTGTTTCTCGGCTCCCCCACCACCCATCCAAACAAAAAGCCCTGACATAGCATTTCTGAAATGGAGCACCTAGACGGTCAACTGTTCGAGACGGACGAGGAGTTGCAAGTTTCCAAGCAGGCTGGCGGCGGGAGTGCCATGTCAGAAAAAAATGAGTTGAAAAAATAGCGAGTCGTCATCTCGCTGAAGGTCATTTTTTATAATTTCCGTCTACCGTAAATACGAGAGCTGAAGGAGACTTGGGGCTATTTCCGGTGCTCGCGTGTAGGCGTTCAACGGCCCACAACCCGCGGTAGTGAATTAATTTCACACCCAGTGCTGGACATTTTTCGGGTTGTGGAGATCTCATTAGTGAGGTTTGTTGTCGGAGCCCTTTTCTCACCTTCTTCGGGACTTAGCCGTTGTCACAACTACACTAAGCCATCGAGCTGAGGGAACTGTCTGCATTGATAGTCCGAGACGAATTTAAGTAGGACTTACTTTCTGTGAACCGTCATTGTTCGAGGGTCCAACCTTCGGGTAGTGATTTCCTGCCCTCGGTTAGCTACCTGTGATAGCCAAGCACCTGCCTAGGTGTTTTTATTCTGGTTCTAACTGGAAACCATTGAGCTGAGGAGGGGGGGGGGTAGTACAAAATAGTTTTCTTTTGCTTGCCTTCCAGGACTTCTTTTAATTTTTTTCTTACTTTTTTTGTTCAATAAATGTTTGTGTACCTTGTGAGTCTTTATATCCTTCAGTGCCAGAGACCCAACATTGGTTACTTGTTATTTCTTTTCCTAGTTCTTGGAGCTAGGTGGCGCCTAAACCACAGCCATTTGTATTAAAATTTCAAAGTACAAAAATCCACCCCCTGAGGGATCATTAACTACCGACCGAGCACAGTTACATTCTTTTACCAAAATTATACATGAATATAAGTGGGATAACACAATGCTAAATTCGTTTTTTCTAATAAGAAATTCCTTATGCCTGAAAAAAATCTGAAATCCTTATTTTTGAGACAACCCTCGTACAAAAGCACCAGAATCGGCGGCATCTAGCGGCCACAATGGTGAGTCTACTGATAATGCGAAGTGGGATACAGCTCCAACAGAAAGCTTGCTGTTTTCACTCTCGCAGTAGTCGATTTTGATAATAGATGGCACCTATCTCGTTATATTTTACAATTCGATCCATGTTATTCTCTTAAATCGCATCATCAGGATTGATATAGACTATGCTTACTTCAAACATGAATGTATCGACCTCCTCTCGAATGTCATCTCTTGACAATGGTTTCCCTTCTACGGTAGACTTCAACAGTATATCCAAAAACGCCATCTTCTTCTTTCCTGTACCGTTCTTCATTATATCTTTGTTCTTCTCGACTTGATTCAGAGCGTCTCTCCTTGAATCGATCACAGAGTAGGTAACCGAGTGTAGATGTTTCACAGCTCTCTTGACCTTATAGAAATCAGGAAACAGAGGAAACAGGAGGTCATTACCTTTCAAAACTGAAATGGCTCGCTCTGAGAGTATTTTCAGCAAAAACTTGACGTCCCGTACATATTGAGAATCTTCGTCGTTTTGGGCGTTCTTTGTAACACCCATTGCTGCATCTGAAATGTACAAGTATGTTTATCTATATACACTGGGAACTTAAAATCTATTATTTTCCCATTATATAAACATTTCTGCGAGGTCTGTAAATTAAGGGATAAGACTGGCAACGTGGCGTTCGATCTGGCAACACTGGAGGCGCCGGACTTGGAGGGGAGACAGGGGAAGATGTGATTAGTGTTGTTGGTTTTCGTTCAAGTATTCGTAACCAGCCGTTACTCTTGTACCACTTTGATTACTCGGTTTTCCGTATTACTTGATCAAAGCAATCAAAGTAATCGGAGTAATCGAAGTAAACGAATTAATCAAAGTAAACGAAGTAATCGAAATAATCGAAGTAATCGAAGTAAACGAACTAATCGAAGTGATCGAAGTGATCAGAGTGATCAAAATAATCTAAGTAATCCGAGTAACCAAAGTAATCAAAGTAATCAAAATAATCAAAGTATTCAAAGTAATCAAAGTAATCAAAATAATCAAAGTAATCAAAGTAATCAAAGTAATCAAAGTAATCAAAGTAATCAAAGTAATCAAAACAATCAAAGTAATCAAAGTAATCAAAGTAATCAAAGTAATCAGCGTAATCAACGTAATCAACGTAATCAACGAAATCAAAGTGATCAAAGTAATCAAAGTAATCAAAGTAATCAAAGTAATCAAAGTAATAAAAGTAATCAAAGTAATCAAAGTAATCAAAGTAATCAAACTAAACAAAGTAATCGAAATAATCGAAGTAATCGAAGTAATCGAAGTAATCGAAGTAATCGAAGTAATCGAAGTAATCGAAGTAATCGAAGTAATCGAAGTAATCGAAGTAATCGAAGTAATCGAAGTAATCGAAGTAATCGAAGTAATCAAAGTAATCAAAGTAATCAAAGTATTCATAGTAATCATTTCGTGCTCGGATTGATACTCATTGCTTCCGGTATCTACGAGTAAAAAATAGTTACTTTTTCAACACCTCTGCATGTCATACGTCTTCAGTATAAGTTTGAACTCGTTCGAGTTATTCAGTTGTCCGTATGCGAATATTTCTATTGTATTCTAAAAATGAGTAACATTACTTTCGTGCAATGGTGTTCTATCAAGTTTTGCTTCAGACATAGGCACAGTGAAACACAAGTGAAACTCTTGCTAAACTTCAGCAGGACTACGTCAAGAGCCCATGTTTTTCGGTGGTTTAAGGGATTATCAGAAGGAAGATAGTAGATTAAAGATAAACCACGAAGCGGAAGGCCTTCATCTTCAAGAACCGATAGAAATATCGACAGAATCCGGGATCTTGCTCATTAGCCTCCTTACTCGCCTGAATTGAGTCCTTGTGACTTTTTTCTCCTGCCGAAGTTGAAAAATCACCCAGAGGAAACTCATTTTGGGACATTCGAAAACATTCAAACGGCTGTAACCGATCAGCTTAAGGCTAATCCAACATTGGAGTGCCAGCACTGCTATGAGGAGTGGAAGATTTACAGACCTCGTATATTATATGTACCATCTACACCTACATGATATTTTAATAGTGCAAAATGTATTTTAAATTGATCAATTCAAAAGAAGCAGCCTGTATATTTTTGCACGCTGCGATTCTCCTAGTAGTTTTATTTTGATTATCATGATAATTATTGAGATATTAGCATTTTCCCAGAAATTACATTCCGGACTAATCAGCCTTGCCATAACGACTAGTTACCGGAGTAAACTGGTAGTTTTGGATAGTAAGCACATCTCAAATTACACTTAATTATCTAACCTCATTTCTGTTACATAGTTGTTGCGTGTTATCAGTACTATCCAAATTATTATTGCGAATCTTTTCTACTTACCACATATAACATCTAAAGCGTACAATGTTATGTATCTATGGATGTCTATATATTTTCCGGTCACATTTTTCAGCTTCTGAACCAATACTTTCCCATTCAATTCGAACGACTCAATGAATTCTTCGAGAATAGAGAAATGGAATGCAGGAGTAATAAGTCGTCTTCTTTTTTTCCATTTCGGACCTAAAAGATGTGTTCTTATATTTACACATTCTCAAAACTCACTCAAATATAATTCTGGATAAGTTAATGTAACTAAACTAACTAAGAACGTTGGTAACGCTCTTCAATTTTATTTATTTGCTTAAGGGCTAAGCGTGCAATCGCCACCCCCTTCGCTCCACGGCACCAATCACAAATCCAGTGGCCGCCCTGCCACAAACGCTGAATCCGCACTTGCCGCAAGCTCTACCACTCTTGATGCACGGTGGTGTAAGTGTGGTTGCCTAAGCGTCGATATTGCGAGGGTGTATCGTCGTAACTCAAGATCTTGGTCGGTAACGAGAGCGTTACACTATCAAATCACCAACTGTAATGACCTGATATATTCGTGTAAGAGTAACATTTGGTCGCTGAAACTTTACATCCTACAAAAAATGTCGAGTACATAGATTGTAGAAAATTTGACGCAAGACGCAATCTATGAGCAACTAGCAACTTATGGAATCGGTGGACCAGCCTACCTCTGGATAAAATCCTTCTTAGAAAACTGATCGCAGTATGTGACAATAAGTCATAACTGCTCAGGACAACTAATACAAGTCAATTCTAGTCCAATAAATATGGATGTTGGAGTTCCACAAGGATCTGTGTTGGGGACTGTTCTGTTTGCATTATATGTGGTTGTCCAAAACGCACGCAGGAAAGTAAACGCATATTAAAGCAAGAAAGATTGATATTCAAATCAAGTTGGGTACTTTATTTTGAAGGTTCATTTATACCATTTATGTATGAAAAATAATATCGCTCAAATGTTCACCACGACTGGATTTACAGACGTCCACGCGATGGTCGAAATTTTCAATGACATTTTGCAACATGGTCGGTTCTATGGCATTTATCTCGGCAATGATGTTGTTTTTGTGTTCTTGGAGGGTGGCTGGTTTGTTGACGTAGACTTTGCTTTTCAAATATCCCCATAAAAAGAAGTCCAAGGGAGTCAAATCGTACGATCTTGGTGGCCATGGCACATTTCCTCTGCGCGAAATCACGCGATCACCGAAGAAGGACTGCAATCGATGGATATTGACGTTGGTTGTGTGGCATGTTGCACCGTCTTGTTGGAAATAAACATCGTCCATATCCATTCCTTCAAGTTGCGGCAAAAAATAGTCCTCTATCATCACGTGATATCGCTCAGAATTGACGGTAACGGCGTCCCCGGCCGCATTTTCGAAAAAGTAAGGTCCGATGATGCCTTTTGACCACAATGCACACCACACAGTCACATTTTGAGGATGCATCGGCTGCTCTTGATAGTCACGGGGATTTTCGTTCGCCCAGATGCGGCAGTTTTGCTTGTTTACCGTCCCATTCAAAGTGAAATGCGTTTCGTCGCTGAACATGATTTTTGATGAAAAATTGGCATCAATTTGGCGGTGTTCAAGGAGCCAATCTGAGAACGTTCGGCACGAAAAATGGTCGGCCCGACGCAGCTCTTGCGTCAATTGGATCTTGTAGGCGTGTACATTCAAATCCTTGTGGAGAATGCGGAGCAAACTGGTTCTCGAAATGCCCAATTCTTGGGATCGACGCGTTTTTTATTGTTTCGGATCGTCTCTCACACTCTCCTTCACAACAGCAATATTTTCCGGTGTGCGAACGCTCCTTGGCCGGCCAGAGCCTGGCAGATTTGCCACAGAACCGGTTGCCTCGAATTTACGCACCAGACGACCGATGGTTGTTTCGTTTGGGCGGTTGTTGCGACCGAAATATTCGCGAAGCACGCGAAACGTGTTTTTTATTTTTGCACCATTTTTGTAGTGCTCTTGAATAACTTTAATGCGGTCTTCAATCGAATACGACTCCATAGCGATCAATGGTAAACATTCAACTAACAAAATGACATGTCGGTGACAGAAAACAAAGATGGCGTCTATGTCAAATTGACGTTTACTTTCCTGCGTCCCTATTGGACAACTCTTTATGTAAATACCCTTGAGCAGTGCTTCCCCAGAGCACACTTTACTTTATACGCGGACGACACATCGTGTTTCTGGGGTTCCTCGGTGAATGCTTCGAAGGTATTTCGAAGTCAAAAGACAATAATAAGATGCATAGCAGGTGTTGACAGTATATACAGTTGCATAGACCTGTTCTCGAAATTAAAAATTCTAACACTGCCCTCGTTGTTCCCTTATGAAATTGCAAGATATACGTATATTAACAGAGATAATTTCACTTGAACATTGAACATTCAATACTCGTAGGCAGCACGACATTCATCTACCCCTTGCTCGATATAAGCTGGGTAGTAGGTCTCCCTCTATTTTAGGCCCAAAGGTATTCAATAAGCTGCCTGAGTATATCAAGACTATTAGCTCCTTAAATAATTTTAAAGCTGACTTAAGAACTTACTTTATTAATAAGACTTGTTACGCCATCAGCGACTTTGTGGATATTTAGATGTTCTTTTTTTTGTATTCATTGTTATCCACTTATTGTTTGTCCTTTTATATATTTTTATATTGTATTTCTGTTAGTTTATTGATTTTAACTGCTGGAAAGCTAATCTATTTTATCTGCTGTTGTTAGCCTATGGTGTCCATTTTAAAATATCTAACTTAACCTATTGTTTGTTGTTGCTTGTCATTTTACTGTTTCTTTTATGTATATACATACTGTAAATTGTTTGTTGACGAACCCTATACATGTTTTATACAAGTCTAATGGGTAATAAATATTATTATTATTATTATGAGGACATAACTTTTCAATGCTTTCACACAGGTGAAACATTACCATATCGCAAGATCGCTAGAATCAATGCCATCAAGCTCATTAAATTTCCTGCATGTAATAGTTCGTCGCATTTCCCAATACTTTGCCTACAGTTTTAATATATCATCATATGAAGAGTGTTGTTGTTTTTCTTGTAGGTATCAGATGTTAAGATAGACTTGAGGTTATTATGTTGAGTCATGATGTAAGAAGTGTGCATCATGCTATTTTCGTTAAAACCATGAAAAATACGGCCAAATATTTTTGTTTACCAGGCCACATCTCGAAAGGTGAACCTTGATTGCCTTGTTGACTATATTTTACGAGCAACATACCACAAAGCCGGGTTAAATAAGGTCGAATAACACCAAATAAGCCAAAAAGAATCGTGGATTAAATCGAGATTGCATTAATATTATGGTGAACAATGAAGACATATCATCTGTAAACAAGTGCAAAAACCTTGGTATCTGGTTTGACTGCAATCTACGCTTCACTTAACATGTTAACGAACCATGCAATGCGTCCGATAATGCGCTTCGTCAGTGTCCTATCAACCTTAAACTCTGCGAATCCCTAATCCTGCCAAATTGGGTTAAGGTGATTTAAGTTTATGGATCTGCTCTACTACAACGTGATGCCGACTGGATTCAGATGATTCAAAACTCAGATACAAAAGTATATCGGAGAAAAAGATAGCGGTATAAGCATATCCTTGTTTTCATATTCATGATGGTTACCTTATACTCGCGAGGATATCCTCCAAGAAGCAGTAAAAGGTTGACTGGTATTTGTATCTTGAGCGACATGTCCTGACTTGTTCCAGCTTGTAGTTGACCTAGGACAGTTCTACTCCAGAGCTTACACAGACCGTTCCGTATTTTCATAACTCTTTCTTGTTTTACAAGCTTATTATAATTTATTTCTGCACCTCGAGTAGGATTTTTGAAGGGAGTCATAAGGCATGGCTCAATACCATAAGCGTCATCGCCAAGTAGTACAACATTTGCTTTATTAGTTGTGATCTAGTCTGTGAATTTCTCCATATTCTGGAATCATGCACAGATCCAGACCAACTGACATCAACACTTGTGAACATCTATGTGGCATCACAAGTGGCTTGCACATTTAAAGTAGGTGTCGGTTGATATACACATTCGTTCAACTCTTCACAACTCTATCCACAGTCCGAGATACCGTTGCTTGACTAACACCAAGTTCCTGACCAATACCTTGTTGATATCCAGTCACCGAGATAGCGTAGACATATCTTCATTTTATGAATACATGAAAGTGCTCCTCCTCGAGTTTCCTCATTCTCAACTAAAAATCTGTCCGCAAGCCGTTGTTCATTTGCTTCGTCGAACCGATATAATTTTTTGAAGTCACAACCAAGTGAAGGTAAACGAGGTTTGTACGTTTTAACATCCCTAACATCCATCTGGAGGATTTCCTTCAAAATTTGCAAGTACAAGGATATCCTTTGTTTTATGAATACGGGTCATTGTCAACTGAGCATAAAGAATCAAGCCTAAGCAACTTTTAAAAAAAAGGTTAAAGATGACCTTAATGGGTAGAATTTAACTTTACGCATCTCACTAGTTTACAAATTTTTGCTTCCAAAAATGTACCTCTACAAAAAGATATTTTTTAAACTAATTCACGGTCGTTGAAAAGGAAAATGACTCTCATTTATCTTTCCAAAGAACCATTCTCGAGGTAAATTTGCAAAAAACGTGTTTTTGCGCCCCAGTGCAGTCGTAACCTGAAATATCGAAAACAGTGCGCGTGATTTTTTCAAAGTGAGTTATTTTTGAAAGGCACACGTATTCCCGTTACCGCAATATATGATTTGCGTCAATCGAATTCGTAGTGTTCCCAAAATAGTCGTTGAAAGATGGAAAAAGGGCATTTTTGAAGCTTTTTTGTCAATTATCGGGGTTTATTAACTTTCTTGGGAGCAACAAATTTTTTCCGATTTTGTCACCTATACAGGGTGTCCCGAAAAAAGCGTGCAATATTCTACCAGCGGTTTCTAAAGCTTAAAATAGGAAGAAAATGTTTTATAAACATAGGTCGACAAACGTCCCCTAAGGGCACTACGGTCTTTTAAAGGGGCTTCCCTTAAGATGGTTTTTCCTTAATATTTCCGAAACGTGTTTAGATAAAGACATAAAATTTGGTATTCTAGCCTAGTTTTTCATTCTGGATTTAAAAATATTAACAATTTTAGACAGTTTTGTTTGGAAGCGTATGTAACAGGGACGGACTCGGGTTATTTGAGGCCCAACATTTTTGTGTGATTCTATTTTTGAAATTCGATTTTAGAATTTAAAAATTTAGGGTTTTCTACATAAAAAAGGTACTCTTATTGAATATCGATAAATTGTGCCATTTTTGAATAAAATCTAACTAAAAAATTTGTCACACGATAGGAAATGTACTGCGTATTTAAATGAATTGTTGAATAATTAGTCATGGCAACGAAAAAAATAATTTAATAATTGGTAAACATTACATAAATACATATTTCTATTGCAACATAGCTAACATTTAGGCAAAAACAAAAGAAATCATTTTTTTCTACGAACGAAATTGAAATTTGTTTAAAAAAGAAGACATACAGTTGGATATACTTAAAACTAGCTTTACAATAAGTGTTCAAATAAATTCCCATTTTGTTGTCTTATACATATACAGGGTGACTTTGAAGTTGAGTCATTAATTTTCAGATAATGATTGTAGAAGGAAGATAAACCAAAATATGTGTGTAAAAATAAAAAAAAATGTTTACCTTGTTTTATAAAGTATCCTCCCGACAAGTATTTCAGTGCGGACCTGTATTTGATCGTGAGGTCCCCTGTGAGGTCTTAAGTCACCTGATTCACGAGCCCGTTGTACTACATTAACAAAGGCACGAGGGGTTGGTTGCACTCGATTGGGAAACCGATCCGCATAAACATGTGCCATTTTTTATTTCGTTTGAGCCACGCAACAGATACCACTATTCACTGACACTGACTGTATACAAATGAATGAAATAATTGTAAAAACTTCGTTCCAAATTCTTTCGCTTTTTTGTTTCCGATGCGATGAACGATACGGCGGATTATATCCGTTGTCGCCAATCACGAGGACATAATATTATTATTGAGACAGGGCGGTACTCAAACTTCCAAAGGGCTATAACTTTGTTACTTTAATTTTACCAGAAAAATGGTAAAGGAAAAAAACATTTCTTTTGATCAGATCTACTCACTGTTAAAATAAATGACTCAACTTCGAAGTCACCCTGTATATATCTTCGAAACGTACTTGGGCTACTTTTTTATAAATAAATCATACCGATATATTTAATTTTTTGAGAAAATTAACCGTTTTTCATTTCTTATTTTAAAATGAAATATTAGGATGTAACTTGCGCGAAAATATTATTTTTTCTTTCAGGAACCCTCTGCTTGCTATTTTATAGAACTTCAAAGTTGCATTTTGGGTGCTGTTGAAACAAGCCCTCTAGCGGCCACACTTGAAACTAACAAAACTCAGCCGTTCCGAAGATACAGGGTTTTCTACGGAAACCTTTATTTTTAGAGTTACAGCAAAAATTACACTGGACAACAAATTTTAGTTTTTTAATTGTATCTTGTGGGAAAAGTGCACTTCTTTGTTAATTTTGGGGCGCTGAATCCAAAAATGACAATGAAATAAAAAGATTAGTTGCGGTTTAGAAAAAAAACTTTTTATTTTTAAGGATATATTAAAAAAAGTAACAAGATTCATATACTTATAAGAATCACTATATGCGCTGTCTTTTTGCTGTTCTTTTATGGATCGTTTCTGGAGCATCTCTACCAAGAGTCCAACAGTAGTCTGCAAGCATGGAAGTATTCCACTTTCCCTGGTACCTTTTTTCTATTGTTGAAATATCCTGATGAAAACGTTCGCCGTGCTCATCACTTACAGCTCCGCAATTGTCAGGAAAAAAGTCCAGGTGTGAGTGTAGGAAATGTATCTTAAGAGACATATTACAGCCCATCTTTTGATACGATGACAGCATATTTTTGACAAGGGTTTTATAGTTGTCAGCTTTTTTATTTCCCAAGAAATTGGTGACCACCAGACGGAAATCATTCCAAGCAGTTTTTTCAATACCTGATAAAGTGTTTTCAAACTGTGTATCTTTCAAAATATTTCGAATCTGTGGCCCAACAAAAATACCTTCTTTAACCTTTGCCTCACTTAGCCTTGGAAATTTCTGACGCAGGTATTGAAAAGCTGACCCATCTCTATCTAATGCCTTGACAAAGTTTTTCATTAGGCCCAACTTGATATGCAGTGGTGGTAATAAATTTTTTTTCGAATCTACTAATGGCATATGCTGTACATTTTTTTGACCTGGCTCTAGGAATTGACGAACAGGTCAGTTTTGTCTGGTGTGATGAAGTGCCTTTGCTCGACTGTCCCATTCACACATAAAACAGCAAAACTTTGTGTAGCCTAGCTGCAGCCCAAGTAAAAGTGCAACAACTTTCAAATCGCCACAAATATGCCATTGGTGCTCATCGTATTTTATACATGTCAATAGGTACTTCATATTGTCATATGATTCTTTCATGTGAACTGCATACCCTACAGGAAGAGATGGTAAAATATTTCCAATATGCAATAACACTGCCTTTAAACTCAATGTTGAACTGTCTATAAACAATCTCCATTCTTCTGGGTTATAATTTATATTTAAAGCCGCCAGTAAGCCGTTAATGTTACTGCAGAAAACCAAGTTATTCTCCATATTGAAAAATGGTTCTAAGTCTTTGTGGCGTTTACGAAAAACACATACAGAAACATCGTCTTCTAACAAGTTCCACTGCTGCAGTCTTGATCCAAGTAACTCTGCCTTACATTTTGGAAGTTCTAAATCTCTTACAAGATCATTAAATTCTGACTGCGTTATTTTGTGCGGTTGGTGGCATGACGTGCTCGGTATAAAATCAAGATCTCTTGACGTTGATGGCATATCTTCTTCCTGACGAATCACTCGATCGCCATGATCTGATTCGTTTTCTGATTCGCAAGTGTAGGGTTCTGGGGGTTTTGGAATAGGATTTTCGTCACTGTGAGATACAGGTCTCATCGCAGATGGTATGTTTGGGTAGTTAATAAGCGATTTTTTTTTCTTGGACATACCTGTGGCTTGTCCAACACAAGGTACCATGCAAAAGTAACAATCATTAATATGATTTGTAGGCTCTCTCCAAACCATTGGGACAGCAAAGCGCATAGACCGTTTTTTGCCATTTAACCAGCTCCTCAGACTTGAAGCACATGTACACGTATGTATAACGTAACACAATCATGCCGATTACATCATCTTTCCTTGCCGAATATAAAAATGTAGCACGTGCATTCTTGTGAATTACAGTATATTAACACTGTCACAGCAGGAACACATATAATTACCGTATCTCTAAAACTTGAACTAATATTGAAAAAATAAGTTTCATTCCGGTTTTAGCACATTAAAAATAGTAATATTTTGTTGATTTTATTTAGGATATTTTTTGGCTGTTGATCAGTGTTATCAAACAAAAAAGATTATCCTCGAGTTTGTGGATCAGGTATTTTTTTGTTAGGTGTCTTAGTTGGCCACCCTGTACACTTATGTAATGATTTTAGTATTACAAACTTTACCGTCACTCGTCAGCAGTCCTGTTCCAATCCACTGATGAAGAAACTTGTAGTCATCTCCTTTGTTTAAAATATCTTGAGTCGTTAACAGGAACTCGGTAAAGTCATAATCCATGCACACTATATTCGTAGATAATCCGAAGTTCACTAATATGAGCTTCGTCCCAAGTTGCTTGTGCAATCTCGCGAGATCGTTCAACATAGCTGAAAACGAATAATTAGTACGAATATGAATAAATCAAAAATCCTAGTAGTTCTGGTTTAAAATAACGGCAAAATCATTACAGCAATTCAAAAAAACTCAAATTTTGTCGCTCAAATTGAGTAGATCCAATGACAAAAACATTGCGTCACGTAGCGCCATCTATGAAAAAAGTCTGTTTTATTTTGTAACACGGCATCTTTTTTTTGAAAAAATATTAGGTTATTTGCAACCATCTTGGAAACTCCTTTTCATATTCTTGTTTGTGAATATTTTTCTGTTTTACCCCTAAACTTGAAGCTTCATCAAAAAACAAATGGCCTGCGAGATCTCCTGATTTGAGCCCCATGGATTTCGTTTTGTGAGGCGTTTTTAAACAACTAGCGTATGCTGAACAAATTAATACTGTTGATCAGTTACAAGAAATAATAGATAATGCGTTTCAACAAATTCAAGCCACAACAAATTTCTTTATTAAAAACATGCCGCACTTGTAGCCGTCAGAATGGTGGTCTTGATTATCTAATTTGTTTTTTTTTTATTTTTACGAAAACAATGCACTCTAGGAAAAACCACAAGAGTAAATATTTGTATCAAATTGAAGGAAAAATTGCGCGTTCCGTGGTGTACTATTTTTTTTTTAAATAAAGCCACTAATCCCCTGTATCTTCGCCACTGATGCACGTTAATTTTAAGTAAAGACTTTTGAATGTGGACAATACTTAGGTATATCCACATACCAAATTCTAGTTTATTCTAGTTGACGATGTTGAGGATATTGAAAAAAATTTTTTCTTATCTCTAAACTTCAACACCCCTTATCTTTTTGGTCCGACTTGTGAATCACCCTGTATAGACTAAACAGAATTCCTTTTTTCAGCTTCATTTTTGGTTTCAGCTCTTTTTCGGTAATGAATCTACAAACATCTGACTTATACTAAGTGACATATAAATCCGAAGACCCAGTTTAAATGGTTTTATTTTAATAAAAGTTGGTGAATGTATTTATCTTACTGTAAGTAACAAGTGAAAAAATTTTCAGCCTTATCAGTTGGACATTCCGGTTTTTATACTGCTTTTTTTTTTATTCACTAACGCTCTAAAAATAAATATTTCAGCCGCAGTAAAGAATCAACGTTGGCGGATTTTGGTTCTTGACATCCTTTACGATCGGTTACGATGCCTAGAGTACGAAGACCTGTACGATTTCGTCAACTTAGTGAGTTTGATAGGGGCCGTATAGTGGGACTTCGGGAAGCTGGACTTTCTTTTCGGGCAATTGCGGTTAGAGTGCAAAGAAGTGTAGACACTGTGGTTAGGTGTTGTCAGGCATGGCTTCGAGAAGGCCGTACGCAAAGAGCAAGGGGCACTGGACGCCGCCGTAGAACAACAGACCGAGAAGATCGCCGCCTAAGATTATTGGCCTTAAGGGACCGTTTCTCCACTACCAGGTCCATTGCAAATGAATGGTTTGCAGAACACGGAAGACCTATTGGCATGCGAAGTGTTTACCGACGAATGAGAAGTTTTGGCTTGTTTTCATACCAGCCACACTGGGTCCTCCCTTTAATTCGAGAACACCGACGTAATCGCCTTGAGTGGTGCAGACAACGGTCACTCTGGGATCAGGAATGGAACAGTATTGTCTTTAGTGACGAGTCTCGATTTTGTTTAGGTATGCACGATGGTCGTTCCAGGGTTAGAAGGCGACGTGGTGAAAGGAGGAATCCACAGTTTTTTGTTGAAAGACATGTTCATCACACTGTTAGAGTTATGGTTTGGGGTGCTATAGCTTATGGTTCCAGGTCACCTTTAATCTTCATCAGAGGTAACATGAACGCGCAGCGTTATATCCAGGAAGTTCTAGAACCCCATCTTTTACCCTATCTTGACACCCTGGCCGATCCAACTTTCCAACAAGATAATGCCCGACCACATGTTGCAAGAGTCACAGTAGACTTCTTTCAACATAATGATGTCACATTGTTACCATGGCCATCAAGATCTCCCGACTTATCCCCAAATGAGCACGTGTGGGATATGATGGGTAGGAGATTGCTCAATTTGCAACGTCCTCCTCAGACTCTAGAAGCACTTCGAGAGGAGTTGGTGGTTGCCTGGAATGAGATACCACAGGAGGACATTGACCACCTGATCAGAAGCATGCCTAGGCGCGTTGGAGAATGCGTAGCACATCAGGGTGCATCCACACATTATTAAAGGTCAAAGGGCTTTAAAGCAGTGCAATCATTTTGAAATTTTTATCATTTACTTATTATGCTTCATTAAGTACTTATACAAAATTTTATTAAAATAAAACCATTTAAACTGGGTGTTCGGATTTATATGTCACTTAGTATATTTCAAAAAATCTTAGGAGAGATGCGTTTTTGCTATTTCGGTAAATAGGATCTGATAGCAATGCAATCGTTGCAACAAAACTATGCCCCGGAAAAAACATGTTTCTAAATCACATGTAGCGTGCAATGTAATACGTCCTTCATTACTGGCAAAATCATTTTACCCTGTCGAGTACGTGAAATCCACAAATGTACACTGCCTGTAAGTCGTTATGTTTTTCTTGTTTAGCGATAATTAGTTTTTTATTGATATGCATCTTCGCATCTAGTTATTAATAAAAATCAATGTATTTAAGCACTAATAAGCAGTCATAAAAAATATCCCTCGAAAAACTGGCATATAGAATACTAGCAGAGTCCTATAAGTGTGAAATGTCAGACAGCTCTCAATGTAATAATTTCCATACAATGATTCCTGTCTCGCAATTGGAAGCGTACTAATATGCTAACAACGAAAAATTGCGATACACCTTCATTCACCCCCTACATTCCCACTCCCCCATTTTTTTACCCCTAAAGAATTTTAAAAATATCGGCGGTATCTACTTTTTAGTTTTCGGCATGCCCCCCACCGCCACTGGATCAATTTTCAAAAACTACAAAGCTTTCTCCTCCTTGGGATAATAGTAACCTTGTACGAAAATTTCATCAAAACCTTAGCGGTACTTTCCAAGTTACAGAAGATCCTAAGATTTGCGGACCGACTGACAGATCCGTCTGCTTGTATTTTTCTTTCAATTCCTTTTGTGATGATATAAAATTAATGTACTTCAGTTCAGTAGTTTTGAAGATTTATTGATTTAAAACTTAAATAAAACCAATACATCAGCATTAGTGGAGATCAATACACTTGGCATAATAAAGATTTTGGTCTAAACATTGCGCACATTTTGCAATATTTGAGGAGTAATTTGAAGACACTCATTCACAATTCTTTGTCGCAGGTCTTCTAATGATGTTGGCTGAGTAGCATAGATTTTGCTTTTTAAATGACCCCACATAAAGAAATCCAAAGGTGATAAATCTGGCGATCTTGGGGGCCATTCAATGGCACCTCTTCTACCAATCCATCGATCTGGAAACGTCTGATCTAAATATTGTCGAACACGTAATGCGTAATGTAGTGGGACACCACCCTGTTGGAACAGGAACCGCCGATCATTCTGATTTTCAATTGTGGCTATTAATGCAGGATCTATGGCGTCTTCCAATAATTCCAAATACATTTCACCGGTCAAATGTCCAGGTAAGAAAAAAGGACCAACTAAATGATCGCCAAAAATACCAGCCCAAACATTTAATTTTTGTGGCTGCTGTGTATGAACCTCATGATAAATTCTGGGAGTAGAATCGGACCAATATCGGCAGTTATGACGATTTACTACGCCATTTTAGAAAAAGGAATATTCGTCGGAAAAGCAAGTGTTGAATAGAAAATGTTCATCGGTTATAAATTGTTCACTCATATCTTCACAAAATTTTAATCACCGATCAACATCGTCTTCATTAAGTTCTTGTACCAGGTGAATTTTATACGGATGAAAACTATGGGCCTTTAGAATCCGTTGGACAGTACGTCGACTAACACCACAAATAGTCTCCAATTTGCGGGTACTTAATGTAGGATCTGCATAAACTTGCCCTAAAACTCCCACTTCTATCGCTTCGTTCCTTATGGGATTTTCAATGTTGCGTTTTTTATTGGCGACTGACCCAGTTTTCCGAAATTTAGCTACAAGTTCTAGAACATATTTTCGATGCACGTTGCTGTTCTCATGTCGGTCATTAAATATTTCTGCTGTTCTATTAGCGCACTAATTATACCATGGTTAATTTATGTAATAAAGCGTTACAAGTTATTTTAGCAACAAAGTATGTATGTACTAAATTCCTATTTAAAATAAGTAAGAGATATCTTTCTTCAAGAAATAACTTTTTTGTCACAAAAAAACGCTCGAATAGCTATTTTCAAAAACAAAATGATAAACAAACCATGGGCGTAGTGAAGAAAAGCATTTACTTATTAAGTAAATTGTTTTAGTCAAATTTCTTCTGAAAGTAGTACAAACTAATCTGATGTATCTATTAAAGTCTACTTTAAGCTTTAAATCAATAAATCTTCAAAACTCATTATAAAGGGAATTGAAACACCTTTAAAATAAGGTATCACTCGACCCCCCTTTCCATTTAAGATTTTAGGGTTGGTGTCACCCCCGCCCAGGGGGCTGCACGTGTTAACGTGATTTTTTGCCCAACTTGTGTCCCCCTCGAAAATAAAATCGATGGGTCTGAGCGTATTTCAAAAAAAAACTGAGCTGCCAGTAAATGCGTCTGTTTCGTTTTCGTTGCGCCACCCTGTATATTCAAGTGCTAAGTTATTTCCAGTATACAGGGTGTAATTTAATTGATGGCTAAAAATACACGATATGATTCCTTAACTCATTTTAGGAAGAAAAGTTCATATGAACATATGTCCTAAACCTCTTAACTTTTGAACTACAGGGTGTTTTAAGAAAAAATTCGTTTACTTGTCTTAACTTTAATACTGTTGTAGATATTTTAGTGAAATTTAACATGCACCTACTGAGCACTGATAGGCATTTTTTTGATGTAGAATATTTTCAATATTTCTACCAGTGGCGTCCGTACAAGATGTAATACTAGAGATTTTTCAAAAAAAATATGATTGCCATTGTTTTTCCAAAAATCATTTTTAAAATCCTCATATATTTTGTAACAAATTTGACCTCTTGACTTTTGTTTGTCTGATGCGCCGTTTTCACGTAAAAAATAAAAGCATTTTGGCTATTTTAATCAATTGACTTAAATAAAAATTAAACAAAAACACATCTTAGAGGCTACCAAATGAGATTTTAGCGATTTTGCAATGCGTGAAAATTGAAAAAAAACAAGTTTGCAACAAGCTTTGACACGTTCTATGGATCAAATAAACTAATACTATTCAATTTAATTATCACAAGAACTGTTGAAAATGTCCGCCTTCTGGTAGACGGTCTTGAGGTGCCCCCACAAAAAATAGTCTAAACCATTTAAATCAGGGGACCTGGGAGGCCAAGATTGAGTTCCCCCACGTCCTATCCCTCGATTCGTAAACGCTTCATTTAGGAATTCCCTAGCATATATGCTAAAATGTGTAGCAGCACCATCATGCATGCACCACATTTCTTCTCTTAATAAAAGAGGTACATCCTCGAGCAAAATTTGCAAATCGTTTTGAAGAAAGTGACGACAGGAAAGTCCAGAACCGTCCTATGAGGAAATTTCCAACTATTCCAACCCACATATTCACAGAAACTGCTCCTTATGATGTGCCTCTGTATAGATGAACATGGATTCTATTTTTTACATTGCAAATTTGTTGCAAAATAAATGAGGATTTCAAGATTGATGAAAAATCTCAATTATATATCCTGTACGGACGCCACTGGTAGAAATTTAAAAAAAATATTCTACATAAAAAAATGCATATTGGTACTTAGTAGGTGCATATCAAATTTCATGAAAATAACTGCTAAAATGTGTAGCAGCACCATCATGCATGTACCACATTTTTTCTCTTAATAAAAGAGGTACATCCTCGACCAAAATTTGCAAATCGTTTTGAAGAAAGTGACGACAGGAAAGTCGAGAACGGCCCTATGAGGAAATCTCCAACTATTCCAACCCACATCTTCACAGAAACTGCTCCTGATGATGTGCCTCTGTATAGATGAACATGGATTCTACTTTTTACATTGCAAATTTGTTGCAAAATAAATGAGGATTTCAAGATTGATGAAAAATCTCCATTATACATCCTGTATGGACGCCACTGGTAGAAATTTAAAAAAATATTCTACATCAAAAATGCATATTGGTACTTAGTAGGTGCATATCAAATTTCATGATAATAACTGCTAAAATGTGTAGCAGCACCATCATGCATGTACCACATTTAATCTCTTAATAAAAGAGGTACATCCTCGAGCAAAATTTGCAAATCGTTTTGAAGAAAGTGACGGCAGGAAAGTCCAGAACCGTCCTATGAGGAAATCTCCAACTATTCCAACCCACATCTTTACAGAAACTGCTCCTGATGATGTGCCTCTGTATAGATGAACATGGATTCTATTTTTTACATTGCAAATTTGTTGCAAAATAAATGAGGATTTCAGGATTGATGAAAAATCTCCATTATACATCCTGTACGGACGCCACTGATAGAAATTTAAAAAAATATTCTACATTAAAAATGCATATTGGTACTTAGTAGGTGCATATAAAATTTCATGAAAATATCTAGAACAGTATTAAAGATATGATAAGGAAAATGATTTTTTATTTTAAATTTTAACACCCTGTAGCTCAAAATTAAAGAGGTTTAGGACATATGTTCATATAAACTTTACTTCCTAAAATGAGCTAAGGAACGATATCCTGTATTTCTGGCCATCAATTAAATTACACACTGTACAAAATGTATCACCTAGTTGCTAAAAGTCTCATTTATCAGGAAAAAATAAAGATTTGAAGATAAATCTGGTAAATGGAACAAATGACTATTTGATGATTTCAAAGCCTACATTGGAAATTCTATTTACATATTTGAAATAACTAAGGTTTTGCAATGTATATTAATAACATGTTTTAAATTTTTGGAATGAGAATTAAATTAATTAAGAAAAAGTAAAGTTGATGCTGGAGAACAAGAGACGAAACGTCATATTGAAATTCTAATTATACCATCCTGTAAAGGAGCTAAAGTGGCAATGTTAATGTGCAATTTATTTTGAAATTCCACTATAAATTAAGTCAGGAAAAAATTTCAACGATTTTGGGAAAATTCGTTTTTTTCTAAGCGGCATTTTGTTAGTTACCTAAATACGCAACTTTGTTCAAATTTGAGCGACTTTTTTTTTCGGAGATCCCAATGGTGAGAGTCGAATTGGAAACACCGACCCACACATTATGTACAAATTACTTACTTGTAGAATCCTTAAACTCTAAAACGTGTCCTATCAAAGGCCAACCCTTTGGTTGGCGAATCCACCCCAACTGTTCGACTAGTTTGTTGAAGTGATACCATTTGTAGCACAGTGCACCTAACAAAGTTGCAAAAATCACCAAAAGAACAACACTCATGTTTCTGATGGAAATGTAAAGAGCGTCGCCGACCGGTGTACACTGCTATTTAATGTCCGGAACAACAAGGATAATGATTAACCATTTCAAAATTGATGAGAGAGATATTCACTTAGTGCGCGGATAGTGATTAAATTTGCTTTTTCTATGAGCATTACTCTGTCATTTGGACTCGCTTCCTAATGAGTTCGGGGTACTTTTTTCTCGTTTGTGCTATGATAAGCGCGGATTCTTCCGCGTGCCATGATTCCAAAATCTGTACATAGATAATATAAGTCGAAGTAGTAGTATAAGTTTATCTTAGGATAGTGACTTTCGATTTCCGCAATGCCATCAGATACATGATTTAGTTTACCGCACATTTAAAAAACCGGGTCATGTCGATTGACTCTCTACTTTAACTAGATTATGTTATTGTAACTCCTGAATCTTATCTCGTGATTTTTTTTTTCATAGGACTCCAATATCAGGCTGGATCAAACCACATATACTAAGTGACATATAAATCCGAACACCCAGTTTAAATGGTTTTATTTTAATAAAAGTTGGTGAATGTATTTATCTTACTGTAAATAACAAGTGAAAAAATTTTCAGCCTTATCAGTTGGGCATTCCAGTTTTTATACTGCTTTTTTTTTAATTCACTAACGCTCTAAAAATGTATATTTCAGCCGCAGTAAAGAATCAACGTTGGCGGATTTTGGTTCTTGACGTCCTTTACGATCGGTTACGATGCCTAGAGTACGGAGACCTGTACGATTTCGTCAACTTAGTGAGTTTGATAGGGGCCGTATAGTGGGACTTCGGGAAGCTGGACTTTCTTTTCGGGCAATTGCAGTTAGAGTGCAAAGAGGTGTAGACACTGTGGTTAGGTGTTGTCAGGCATGGCTCTGAGAAGGCCGTACGCAAAGAGCAAGGGGTACTGGACGCCGCCGTAGAACAACAGACCGTGAAGATCGCCGCCTAAGATTATTTATTGGCCTTAAGGGACCGTTTCTCCACTACCAGGTCCATTGCAAATGAATGGTTTGCAGAACACGGAAGACCTATTGGCATGCGAAGTGTTTACCGACGAATGAGAAGTTTTGGCTTGTTTTCATACCGGCCACACTACTATAGGTCCTCCCTTTAATTCGAGAACACCGACGTAATCGCCTTGAGTGGTGCAGACAACGGTCACTCTGGGGTCAGGAATGGAACAGTATTGTCTTTAGTGACGAGTCTCGATTTTGTTTAGGCCTGCACGATGGTCGTGCCAGGGTTAGAAGGCGACGTGGTGAAAGGAGGAATCCACAGTTTTTTGTTGAAAGACATGTTCATCACACTGTTGGAGTTATGGTTTGGGGTGCTATAGCTTATGGTTCCATGTCACCTTTAATCTTCATCAGAGGTAACATGAACGCGCAGCGTTATATCTACGAAGTTCTAGAACCCCATCTTTTACCCTATCTTGACACCCTGGCAGATCCAACTTTCCAACAAGATAATGCCCGACCACATGTTGCAAGAGTCACAATAGACTTCTTTCAATGGCCACCAAGATCTCCCGACTTATCCCCAATTGAGCACGTGTGGGATATGATGGGTAGGAGATTGCTCAATTTGCAACGTCCTCCTCAGACTCTAGAAGCACTTCAAGAGGAGTTGGTGGTTGCCTGGAATGAGATACCACAGGAGGACATTGACTACCTGATCAGAAGCATGCCTAGGCGCGTTGGAGAATGCGTAGCACATCAGGGTGCATCCACACATTATTAAAGGTCAAAGGGCTTTAAAGCAGTGCAATCATTTTGAAATTTTTATCATTTACTTATTATGCTTCATTAAGTACTTATACAAAATTTTATTAAAATAAAACCATTTAAACTGGGTGTTCGGATTTATATGTCACTTAGTATAATATACGTTTAAATCCGTGTTTATTGTACGACGTTTCTGCCACCACGTGGTCGAATGCCAAATCGAACGCTACATCCCATAGAGCACAATTTTTTCAGATAGATTTCAGAAATCTTACACTGTGATAATCGTAATCTTTCAAAATCCTTACAAAATATTGCTGCAATATTTCGGAAAGATATATACAGGGTGGCCCGTTCATGTGTGGACGAAATATTACTCATAAACAATACAGTTTGGGAAAATCGATTTATGGGACATGACATACATGTCATTTGAGGTCACATTTCTAAAATAGTGGCCATTATACAGGGTGTCCCAATATCGACCTACATGAAAGTTGTGATTTTTCAAATGGAATGCCTCAAATTTTACTGCATATTTGGATCAAACAATTCAAAAAAAGAAGATTGATATACATACTGTGGGGTTTTGGTAACTAGCTACTGAGATATAAGGTGTTTTGTCTAGAAAAACCCCCCACTTCGGCAACCTCCATGGAAACAAAAGACAAACAGTGGGCTAGTTCCATATTGCCACTAAGAGTACAGATTTGACGTAAAAACTAATAACAATCAGAACAATATAAAATCAGCTTCAAGCGTAATAGAGAAAAACAACTATAACAACAACATAAACAAACAACTATCACCATTCAAGACCTAATCCATAAAAAGTGCTCGTAAATATCTCCACCATGTTGAATACACAGCCGTAGTCTTTGGATAAATGACAGTTGCACATCACTCAGCATGTGTTCCCTTATGTGCAGAAAAGCACTCCAACTTTCAAAATGGCGGACTGAGGAGTTGCCGAAGTGGGGGGCTTTTCTGGACAAAACACCTTATATCTCAGTAGCTAATTACCAAAACCCCACAGTATGTTATATCAATATTCTTCTTTTGAATTGGTTTATCCAAATACGGAATAAAATCTGAAGCATTCCATTTAAAAAATCACAACTTTGATATGTAGGCCAAATTGGGACACCCTGTATAATTGCCAATATTTTATAAAACATGCCTTAAATAGATTTTTCTTTAACTTCGGTACACGTTTAGAAGAGTGCAAAAATCGTAACGGTAGTCATTTAGATGATATAATTTTCAAGAAATGAATTCTAACTAATTTTAAAATATGTCAAATGTTTTTTTCATACGATTTTTTCAAATGTTAACTAATTCATTGCTCTGTATAATCAACATTATCACCCATAATTGTTCAGCGGACTGAGGTGAACATGGCATTGCCAACCCTCAGAGCTTTGGTGTATTATACAGGGTGGCGCATCGAAAACGAATTGATTGATTTGACCAAACTTTGTTGTTAAAATAACTTGTAACGCTTTATTACATAAATTAACCATGGTATATTTCACAGCAGAAAGAGTTGAAATTATCGAAATATTTTTCGGAAATAATCAGTGCGCTATTAGAACAGCAGAAATATTTAATGAGGGACATGAGAACAGCAACGTGCATCGAAAATATGTGCTAGAATTTGTAGCTAAATTTCGGGAAACTGGATCAGTCGCCAATAAAAAACGCAACATTGAAAATCCCATCAGGAACGAAGCAATAGAAGTGGGGGTTTTAGGGCAAGTTTATATATATGTAGATCCTACGTTAAGTACCCGCAAATTTTAGACTGTGTGTGGTGTTAGTCGACGTACTGTCCAACGGATTCTAAAGGGCCATAGTTTTCATCCGTATAAAATTCAGCTGGTACAAGAACTTAATGAAGACGATTTTGATCGGCGATTACAATTTTGTGAAGATATGAGTGAACGAATTATAAACGATGAACATGTTCTATTCAACACTTGCTTTTCCGACGAATGTTCCTTTTTCTAAAATGGCGTAGTAAATCGTCATAACTGCCGATATTGGTCCGATTCTAATCCCAGAATTCATCATGAGGTTCATACACAGCAGCCACAAAAATTAAATGTTTGGGCTTTTATTTTTGGCGATCATTTAGTTGGTCCTTTTTTCTTACCTGGAAATTTGACCGGTGAAATGTATTTGGAATTACTGAAAGATGCCATAGATCCTGCATTATCAGCCATAATTGAAAATCAGAATGATCGGCGGTACATTGCGAATAGGTTGGTGTTCCAACAGGATGGTGCCCCACCACATTACGCATTACGTGTTCGACAATATTTAGATCAGACGTTCCCAGATCGATGGATTGGTAGAAGAGGTGCCATTGAATGGCCCCCAAGATCGCCAGATTTATCACCTTTGGATTTCTTTATGTGGGGTCATTTAAAAAGCAAAATCTATGCTACTCAGCCAACATCATTAGAAGACCTGCGACAAAGAATTGTGAATGAGTGATTGCATGGAGAGTCATGGTGGCCAACATTTACTTGCCTAACGGTTCAGTTCATTCTTCATTTTTAAATTATTTTGCTGCCAAATGTATTGATCTCCACTAATGATGATGTATTGGTTTTATTTAAGCTTTAAATCATTTAATCTTCAAAACTACTGAACTCGACCCCCCTTTCCATTTAAGATTTTGGGGGTGTTGTCACCCCCGCTAAGGGGGCTACACGTGCTAACGTGATTTTTTGCCAAACTTGTGTCCCCCTCGAAAAGAAAATCGGCGGGTCTGAGCGTTTTTCCAAAAAAAAAAACTGAGCTGCCAGTAAATGCGTCTGTTTCGTTTTCGATGCGCCACCCTGTATATTTTGTACTTGCTATGTATATACTCCAATAAACATTATTATCATTATTATAATGTTCCCTTGAAACAGAAAAATACAAGCAGACGGATCTGTCAGTCGGCCCGCAAATCTTAGGATCTTCTGTAACTTGGAAAGTACCGCTAAGGTTTTGATGAAATTTTCGCTACAAGGTTACTATTATCCCAAGGAGGAAAAACTAACTAGATACCGCTGATATTTTTAAAATTCTTTAGTGGTAAAAAATTGGGGGAGTGGGAATGTAGAGGGTGAATGAAGGTGCATCGCAATTTTTCGTTGTTAGCATATTAGTACGCTTCCAATTGCGGTAAATCTATGAACCTTAAGACTTCGAGAGATAGAGAATGATTTCGGCACGTATCCTTGCGTCTGGCTTCACCGGCCGGCGTACCGGACTCCATAAGCGTCCTCGCATGGCTGGCTCGACTTGCACTCTGCGCTCTGCGGAGGTTGACGCAGAGTGCAATCAGGCTTTCATCAGGCCCAGAAGAATGTTTATTTTTTAGCTGTTCATTAATTAAATTAAATAATTTATCATCAGTAACTGGACAACATCAAATAAATAATGGGGATCCAATATTCGGCTGTCTTCTCTACAATATGCATCCATTCGGTCAACGTTCCTTTCCCTTAAGCCAGTCGTC